TTGCTTTTTTTTTGGAATGGCGCTCTCCTATTGGTTGGCTACGGTCACGCCACCTTTGCCCCCCCCCCACTCGCCATTTCGTCTTTGTAACTATTGTGTTGGAGCGGGTCGCTCCCTAAATAAATGCATATATTAGATAATAACCAAATGGAATCCTCTCTTTCTTTTTCCCAGTAAGAGACGCCTACGGAAGCCAACAGTACATAGACAGATAAAGCACATAGGCTATAGTTATTAACTAACATATGCATTTATTTAAGGCGCCAAATTATAATTGTAACAAATAGTATTTGAATCAAAACATTTAATCGGGTAAAACACGGGCGTTGCCCGGGTCATTTGGCTAGTAGTTTATAAACATAAGGTAATAAGACCAAAATTTACACACTATTTATTTATTTGGATATGGTCTTATTACCTTGTGTTTAAATTCTGTGTGATATTTGGTAACAATGTTGTTATCAAAACATCACACACTATTTATTTATTTGGATTTGGTCTTATTATCTTTTGTTTATAATCTAAAATCCAAATTGTGCCTTATCTACTTAACCATTTGCGGTGTCATTGGAGACCCGCTGTTGATTATCTACCAAACTCTGCAGTGGTGGTAGAGGCGCCATATTCATTGTACATAGTGTTATGCATATATATATATATATACAGTAGAACCTCCCTTTAGTGGACACCCTGCTAGCGGGTTCACAAAGGACAGTTTTCATTTGGAAAATTACCATTTTTACAATTTAGCAACTCTCCGGTAAGAGGACACCTCTCCCTAAAGGACACTTTGGCTCTGCAATTAGGTGATGTCCTTTACAGGGAGGTTCTACTGTATATAATTATCATTTTAAAATAGTGCAGACTGTTCACTTTTGCATGTATTGATAAAATATCAATAAAATTATTTTAATTGTCAAATTGTCTACTTAACCATGTTGAGAAGAGCAATATTGTTGCAGATATCAACGAATGTCTTCGAGACAATGGTGGATGTGACACGGACGCAGCCTGTATCAACACAGAGGGTTCTTTCAAATGTGCCTGCGATGAAGGCTTTACAGGGGATGGTCTCTCCTGCAGAGGTGAAGTATTCCACACTTTGTGACGGCTCAGAAACTGATGATCTTGTTGGCAGATATTGATGAGTGCAGCATTAACCCAGCTCTCTGCGACAACGGACAATGCATCAACTATCCTGGAGGTTATCGTTGCGAGTGCGACATGGGATTTGTACCTGAGGAAAAAGACCACATTTGTGTCGGTAATTATCCATGAAAATAACACAGAATTGTGAAATAAAGTAACATCACCCAATCCAAATACTATATATACACTCATGGGCAAAACTTTTATCTTTTAGCATGTTTTTTTTTCTTATCCCTAGTACACATGGTACAGGCCATGATAATCATGTTGGGTAGAAGTAGGCAACTGCTTTTACTGTAAGAGCACCACATGTTCACCCATGTGATAAGCAGTTAGACTTTGCATTTAAAAATATGCCAGGGCTCCGTTTGGTTTAGCATGTATATCGGGATTCAGACAATAAATCTGAAAGATACACTCATGGACAAAACATAAGGAAGTTGTACCTTTTAGCATGTATATCGAGATTCAGACAATAACTCTGAAAGATACACTCATGGACAAAACTTAAGGAAGTTGTACCTTTTAGCATGTATATCGGAATTCAGACAATAACTCTGAAAGATATTACAGTGACCTTTATTGAAGACAATGGATAACCAAGTGTGAACAAAATTGCATCTGTCTCCAAAAAAAAAATTAGATGATTAGTGGCATCAAAGGCTTTACACTTCCTTAAGTTTTGTCCATGAGCGTATTTAGCTATTCTGAATCTCTTTTATCAAAACAAATTCTAAAGATTCAATATGTATTAAATATGTCTATGAGTGTATTTATTTGGATTTTTGGGCTTGTTACCTTATTAATAATAAAAAGAGGCATCTCCTTATTGTGCAACTGAAATGCAACTGATTAATAAAGAATAGGTATTTGACCAATTCTGGAATAATTAAAAATCAACGAATAGTTGATATTTATTCTGATAGATGGCGCAAGCCATCAACAAATTTCAGTTGCATGATAAGAAGATGCCTTTTTTTTTTTCTTAATACAGTAAAACCCCTCTATAGTGAACCCCATTGGGACGGGACTTTTGGTTCACTATAGCCACGGTTCACTATAGCCACGGTTTGGGTATTTAATTTTTTTTTGAGGATATAATTAAAGGGCATGCGCAAAAAAAAAAAAAAAAAAAGGCTACCTCTTAATATTGGCTGCTTTTTTCCCCCTAAATTAACCTATTTCTATATATTAAAGCTGTATATTAAAATAAAAACAAAATCATGTGAAAATATTGCCTTTTTGATCAGTTCCTCTGATAATTTAATTAGTATAAATGCAACCTGCCCCCCATATGTCAAAAAAATCCAAGAAAAGTTAAACTTATATATAAAAATTAAATAAAAACTTTATTAATAATATTTTAAAAGGTATAACAATATATTTTATATAAATAAATATTATATTACAATATAGGATACAAAGGCTTACTTGAAGAAGTCTGTTATTTTTTTCTGCTTTAACATATTCCTCAAAAATTTGGTTTCATATCTAGCAAAGAAATCTTCATTTTTTTAAATGAAGCCTAGCTTGTACTAACCACGTATACAAGACTTCTAAAAGTGGATAATGACACTGACGATAGCGGCAATAGTTGGGATTGATTCCTCTTTGTAGCATTTTTTTTTATAGTCTTCTTTTTTGCCCCATATCGTAGAAATGCTACTTTTGCTCATTTTCATTTTCTTCCGAAGTTCCGCTTGCGATGTACCACTCTCAATAGCTTTTATGATGGTTAATTTCTTTTCAAGTGATATCTTGGTACGAGCGACTTTTTCTTTGGCACTTCCATTATCTTTTAAAACTGGTTTTAATAATTTAAATCATGTTTTAAGGAATTTTCCTAATGTAGAGTTAAGAAATTTAGTTTTCAATAAGGCATGAAAAATTTATAAAAGGGCGCAGTATAAAAATAGAACGTAAATAAAAACACCCAATGTCGCTAAATTCTTTGTTTTGAATTGCGATCTGTGAGCTAGAGCTCACACAAAATTTTAATTAGTTTTGAAAATTATAATTTTGGAATTAAAATTAGAAGTTCGTTATAAGCATGTTATTTTTGATAGAATTTAATATTTTGGGACCAAAATTGGGTTCGTTATAGCGATAGTTCGCTAGTTTGAAAATTGAAAAGTTCGTTATAATGATGGTAATTTTAATGGAATGGAATTGGGATTTTCGATGGGTTCGTTATAAGGGAAGGTTCGTTATATCCATGGTTCGTCTTAGCGGGGTTTTACTGTATATGAACCATATCCCAGTACAATATCATATTTGTACTATTTTCCCACATTGTTACCCTATGTTTGTTAGCTATATAAATACATATTTACATATGATTCTAATGTTTGATGTTCCAGACATTGACGAATGCACCATGTTCCACAACATCTGTGTATTTGGACAATGTGAGAATCTATTTGGAATGTTCCGGTGCATCTGTAATGTTGGTTATCAGCTGGACTCCTCTGGAGGCAACTGTACTGGTGAGTATTGTACTCCTTGTATTGTACCATTCTTATAATACAAATATACAGTTAAACATGTCTATAGCGTCCCCTCTTGGAACTCACCAAATTAGGTTGCTATAGACAGGTCACTTTTAATGTAAATATCTCATTGTACTACGTATTTAAAATCGGGCGCTATAGAGAGGGAGGTGCTATTTAGAGGGGGCGCTATAGACAGGTTTAACTGTATAAGAAATGGAAACATTAAAGCATGAATGTTTCTTTTTTTAAATATAAACTTCAACTGTTCTTACTGCAATTAAAAAATATAGGGAGGGCTTGGTTGATAAGCCAAGTGATGAGCCAGTGTTATCGACATGTTACTGAATGTGCAGATACTGATGAATGTGAGAACCCGGAGATATGTCAATATGGCACCTGCATCAATACTCTTGGTTCCTTCATGTGCCATTGTCCACCACACTACCAGCTCACACCGTCCAAGACAGCCTGTGTGGGTAAGTCCTGGTATACTGACTTATCTAGGTATTGATTCCTTAACAACAAGGTAAAATAAATGATATTTTGATCCCATATATGGTAAAATAAATGATATTTTGATCCAATATACGGTAAAATAAATGATATTTTGATCCAATATACGGTAAAATAAATGATATTTTGATCCAATATAGGGTAAAATAAATGATATTTTGATTCAATATACGGTAAAATATATGATATTTTGATCCAATATACGGTAAAATAAATTATATTTTGATCCAATATACGGTAAAATAAATGATATTTTGATCCAATATAGGGTAAAATAAATGATATTTTGATCCAATATAGGGTAAAATAAATGATATTTTGATCCAATATACGGTAAAATAAATGATATTTTGATCCAATATACGGTAAAATAAATGATATTTTGATCCAATATAGGGTAAAATAAATGATATTTTGATCCAATATATGCCTTTTTATTTAAATATTTATTTATGGAGGTAAAATAAGTGATATTTTGATCCAATATATGCCTTTTTATTTAAACAAATTCTTTATAAGGTAATAAGACCTAATCCAAATAAATAAATAGTGTTTGACATTTCAGTAACAGCGTTGTTACCATTAGACAAAAGTACTTAATGAGCAGCGTTTGTATTCTATGTTAGGAGTGGCTACACACGGTGTCTGTTCCTCATGTCAGAGGCGGCCATTTCTTTTGGGACTGAGTCGGCCTGCCACTGACACACTTTACAGCTTTACAAGCTTGATACCCTGATATGATTGAGTGGAGATAAGAAAGAAGAAGAATAGAAATTGGTGAGAAAATATGGTTTTACAAGTTACTAACCAAAATGTATGATTTTTGAGCCAAAAAAAAAAAAAAACTGGAGATGTCGGGGATTGAACCCGGGGTCTTTCACATGTGAAGCGAACGTTCTACCACTGAGCTACATGAAAAAAAAAGAAATTTTACCACATCATGTTTTAAATATTAGATAATAAAAGGCATATATTGGATTTAATAAAATATTTATTTTGCCAATATTTCGGCTGGCTGAACGCCAACCTTTATCGAGGCATTACATTTTTGTATACACAATACAAAAATGTAATGCCTCGATAAAGGTTGGCGTTCAGCCAGCCGAAATATTGGCAAAATAAATATTTTATTAAATCCAATATATGCCTTTTATTATCTAATGAATTAAGTATGGATTGCTCTATTTTCAAAATGTTTTAAATAGTTACTGTTATCAAGTGTGTAAACAAGATAGCAGATAATAAGAAGATAGTTTTCTATAAAAACTCTTAAATTAATATTCTTTGAATTATAAGTGAAAAAAATATTTTAGGGTTCTTAGAAAACCATTTTCTTCTTTTCTGCTATCTTGTTTACACACTTGATAACAGTAACTATTTAAAACATGCTGTGATATATTTTCTCATTCAGTACTTTTGTCTGAAGATGGTAGCAACGCTGTTACCAAAACATACATATTATTACTACGTGGAAAATTAGGGAAGACAAACTTCAGGATGAGACAGAAATTTATTTAAGACAAGAACAAACTATGAATGATAAACAAAAGATAAGGAATATGGGAAGTTTACAGAGTAGTAAAATATAAACAAAAAATGATATTCTGTTAATACTAGTGTAAATAATAAATGCTTCGCTACAATTTTTATTTATTTGGATTTGTTCTTATTACATTATGTTTATAATCTATAATCCAAATTGTGCTTTATCTCAAGTTCTTTAATTCACCAATTAATATAAAGCTATAATGCACCATCCTATATACAGGAAATTAAAAATTAATATACTTTCTTTTACACATAAAATAAATTTCTACTGTCCTTACTGAGATGAAATAATATTGCCACGTGGAAAATTAGGGAAGACGAAAACTCCAGAAGGTAACAAAAATTTATTTCAGGCAAGGACAAACTATGAATGGTAAAACAAAAGATAAGCCACGAGGGAAATTTACAGAGTAGCAAAATATAAACATAAAAATGAATACTCTGCTAAAATAATAAATTCTTTGTTACATAGCTTCTTCCCTATTGGAGCTGTGACCCACAGCTAGCAATTATTATAGATACTGACATGGGTCTGACGTGCTTCTGCCAAGGATTCCATCGAAGTCTTGAACATTGTCCCTAGAACCTTTGCGTCTGTTTCTTGCGGCGTGAAGAGCGGCTTTGTCGTCGTATCGTCTATAGGGACATCTTCATCTTCGAGAGAAGTCTTTGTTTTAGCACGGCGGTGGAATCCTGGAGTCAGTCTCTGAAAATGTAGATCACAGCACCCATCGCTTCAAGGTCTTCTCGGCGGTCTTCAGTTTGTCTTCCCTAACTTACCCAGCATCTCCACCAAAATGCCACGTGGAAAATTAGGGAAGACAAAAACTTCAGGAGGTAACAAAAATTTATTTCAGGGAAGGACAAACTATGAATGGTAAAACAAAAGATAAGCCACGAGGGAAATTTACAGAGTATAGCAAAATATAAACATAAAAATGAATACTCTGCTAAAATAATAAATACTTTGTTACAATATATTGTAAGAGTTTGGATCACACACATCAGTGGTGAGCCCTCCCAGTGGCTTCTCCAATTTAATCTACCAGACCACTTCTTAGAACTCTAATACTATATTGGATCATTCTGCTTATATATGCTACACTGAAGGGTAGAATCTTAGAAATGGTATTCAAGTAAACTAAGGACATAAGCTCTTTTTACCAATTAATAATTCATAATAAGGCACAATTTGGATTATAGATTATAAACATAAAATAATAAGACCAAATCCAAATAAATAGTGTGTGACATTTCAGTAAATAGCATTCATTCAGTACTTTTGTCTATTGATGGTAACAATGCTGTTACCGAAACGTCACATTATTTATTTATTTATTCGTATTTGGTCTTATTACCTTGTATACTAATTCTTTTTATACAAGCAATAGTAATAGTAGGAAAATTTGATAAAAATTTCCTTATTTAATTCTTTTTATTTTAACATTTTAAAGCTTTCTAGAATGAAATGTATGCAAACATTTTTTAAGCTAATATGAAAATTGAACTATTTTTGACGTGATAAGGCACAATTTGGAGTATAGATTAGAAACACAAATAAAAAAAAAAACATCAAATCCAAATTTCGAAATTGTGAGTATGTTCTAGTAGCAATTTTTTTACTATGGTAACAATACATGGTAAATATAAAATAAAAGGATTTAAAAGCGTGAATGTTTCTTTTATACATAATACAAACTCCTACTGTCCTTACTGCGATGAAAAAATATATTGGGAGGGCTTGGCTCATCAGTGGTGAACCCTCCCAGCGGTTTCGCCAATTTAATCCACCAGACCGCTTCTAAGAGCTCTAATACTGTATTGGACGATTCTGATTATATACGCAGCACTGAAAGATGGAATCTCAGAAATGGTTTTCAAGAACACTATGGGCATGAGTTTATAGGACAGTAGAATTACATTCAAATTTTTGCCTCGAGCAATGCACTTCAGCAAACAATAAAGACAAGGCCAGTTAGGCATAAATTAACACAAAGCAATAACGCGCCATCAGTACATATAAAATAAAAGGATTTAAAAGCACAAATGTTTCTTTTATACATAATACAAACTGTTAACTTACAACTTGTGTTAATACATGGTAACATAACTGTTGCAAAAACGTCACAAACTATATATTTGGTGGTATTGCCTTGTGTTTATAGATGGGTATAGAGTGTAGTAAAGGCTCTAGTAGAGGTTGTGTGTGTGTGTAGACAAGAGAGAGGGAGCCTGCTACCTGGATGTCACAGGGATCTACAACAACCGCGGCATCTGTCACACAGAGGTTGGACAGAGTCTCACCCGTCCTGCCTGCTGTTGTTCCTTGGGCAAGGCCTGGGGTCCTCAGTGTGAGATCTGTCCGCAGGAGAACTCCAGTAGGTAGCACCTGCCTTCACAGCTACATACAGTAGATCCTGGTGATGGTCTTCTTCTTTCTTATCTCCACTCAATCATATTAGGGTATCAAGCTTGTAAAGCTTGAGATCATGACTGGGTGAAGTAGAATGCGTCTGCCTTTGTCATTAAGACTGGGACTCCACCTTCGCCGGTCCCAAGCCAGGATGAAAAAGGAGGAGGGGAGCAGTAACAAGCTTGCTAAAAACCTGGGCCCCGCTAGCCTGGCTAATAGTACCCTGTAAGGGCGCCTAATCCAGGGATACAAGATGAGCAACGTTTGTACTCCATGTTAGGAGTGGCTGCACATGGCATCTGTTCCTCATGTCAGAGGCAGTCATTTCTTTTGGAGCTAAGTCGGCCTGTCACTGAGTAGTGCTGGTGGTGGTGCTTATCTCCATAGTTAAACCAATTCCTGAAGCCCACTCCTCTCCAATTTTGCAATGGTAGTTATAGACCTGGAAAATAGGTCCTCTATTGTCAGTTCTGAGCATGACAAGATATGCTCCAGAGAAACTTCTGCACTAATTCATTTCAAGCAGTTATTGAAGGCTTTTTTGTCCATTTTGAAATTTTAAGGTTAATATGGCCACTTCTTAGTCTTGCTAAAGCTGTTTATTGATTTCTATTGAGTTTTTGAAGTTCTTCTAATTGTTTCAATGGTTTGTACCAGTGATGATTTGGATAAGCTGTCAGTTTTGATTTATTTTCTTTTTTTATACATATATGTATTATTGTTGCAAATGATTCCGTCGACGTATGGATGTATTCGCCATAATAATATTATTCGCCAAGTAATAAGAAAAACATGAACTTTTGGGACAACTTTATATATAAGATATACAGCAAGATACAGAGTAAAAGTTCTCCTGAAGTATTGGAGGGTTTTGATAAATGTCATTTGGTCTCAATCCCAATGAATGGAAAACCCCTATTTGTACATTCTAGTGTGTGTACAACTCTGGTAGAGGGCAGACAATGTCCTAATGGAATGGCTAATACAAAAGAGGACTTAATAAAAGCTGGGATAAGGTTTTAACATCATTCTTGTAATGAAAGACACTTTTTTGTCCTTAGGGGAGAAATCGCCCAAAAAGTGAAAGAGTCAAATTTATTTGGCCAATTTCATTGATGGAAGAAGGCACAAACCACTTCTGCGCATTTTATCAAGAACTGCTGAAAAAATGTCAGGAAAAGTTGAACTTGTCACCTCTGACAACAGTCTGACTGTCACCTCCATGTGGATAGCCAGCCTATGACAGTAACTCCCCATCATGGAGACTTGTGGACTAAACCCTACCAAGATTTTTAATCCATGAATTCAGTCTCCATGACTTTGTATAATTATACAAGAGGATAATAAATAAAAAACACATCTGTGGTCAATATATTATAGAATAACATTAAATGGATGTTTCAGCGGAGTACAAGGAACTCTGTCCTGGTGGACACGGCTTCCGACCCAACCTGATCACAGTCATTCTTGAAGGTGAGTAGATCATCATTTGTGGGAACCACTTTCTTATCAAACAACAATTCATTTCTCCTGCACGTGCCATTTGCTTTATGAAAACTCTTTTTTTTTTTTCTTATTCCTAGTACACGTGGTACAGGCCATGATAATCATGGTGGGTAGTTAGCGACTGCTTTTTTACTGTAAGCACACCACATGTCTACACATGTGAAAAGCAGTTCGACTTTGCACTTACAAATGTGCCAGAGCCCTGTTTGGTTACTTGCACTCGCTGGTGGGGTTAGACTTTTGCAAGAATCGGGTGCCATTGGAGCATTTTTTTTAATGCAAACTCTACACACCAGAAAAGGAATTAGCTTACAGTCTTAAGTGGTCACCCTCCCAAATACTGACCAGGCCTGACATTGCTTAACTTTGGTGTTAGGACAAGAACCTTTGTTTATAAAAACTTAATGCAGCAAAACCTCAACAGCACCCGGTGTTCGCAAGTGGTCACCCTCCCAAGTACTGACCGGGCTCAATGTTGCTTAACTTCGGTGATCGGAGGAAAACCTTTTTTATATAAAAACTTGATGCAGAAAAACCTTGAAAGAATGACCACCTCCCTGAGCAACCAGGCTTTAAATGTAAATAACGATCTGACATCAACCCAACTTTCAAAGAAAGATATTACCTCCAGGAGAGTCCAAGAGAATCGAAAGTTTTTGGATAGTTTCTCATGGGAGGTTTAAGTAACTATGATTGGTAACTTTGCTAACAGAAAACTCCACCTCCATCCCAAAATCTTCACAAAGACTTTTCTGGAACTATAAGAAAGCCTCCTGGAATTCATTTAAAACATTGTTAGATAGTCTTCTCAGCAAAATCCCACTAAATTCCTCTTTGGAAGACAGGTGGAAGAACTGGAAGTCTACAGTCCTAATTTCTGCTAAACAAATATCCCCAGAGGAAACAGGAAATTCTACTTTCCTGGATACAGAGAGGTACTAGATCTTTTGAAAGATGAAATAGAAGATAGGAACCAAGTTTACCAAGACCTTATTGAGAACACAACAACACCCTCCTCATCAGAGATTACAATCACCTTGCTGCAAAAATTAAGCTTAAGACTGACCAAATCAAACAGAATAAGTGGATTGAACTCTGCTCTTCAATTGACCCAAAAAACAGCGACACGAAACTATGGAGACTACTACATGCCCTCAATCAGGACACTCCATCTCACAGCAGCTCAAATACCTCCAAGGATAATTCTGGAAACCATCTCACAGACAAATACAGCATAGCAAATCATTTTGCCCACCATTGCAGCTCTTCCGCAAAACTTAATTTTAATTTACAGGATTAAATAATAGGTAGAAAATCTAGGCTCACCAGAAACCTTGCAAAATCCAAACCCAGCCACAATATTTTCAGTAAACCTTTTCAAGAGCATGAACTGGATGAAGCTTTAAGTCATCTTGACCCTACAAAAGCTCCTGGTCCAGACAACATCACTGGACCCATGTTGAAAAACCTCAGTTCCCATGGCAAACTAGAACTCTTAAGCATTTTCAATTACAGTTGGAGCTCGTCTACCCTCCCTAAAGAGTGGAAACATGCCACAATTATCCCCTCCACAAACCAGGCAAGCTTGAGAACCACCCAACCAACTACAGACCCATCTCTCTGACCTCTATTCCCTGCAAAATCATGGAACACATGATTCTCAATAGGTTAAATTTTTATTTTAACCTCAATAACCTACTAAACCCTCATCAAAGAGCTTTTAAAAAATATCAAAGCACAGAAGATTCAATATTTTACTTCGTTCAATAAATCCAGGACAGCTTCCATCATAAACCTACAAAATCTACTATAGCAGCCTTCATCGACCTTTCCCAAGCCTTTGACAGAGTCTGGAAGGAAAAGCTAATTCTCAAACTCGATGAACTTGGAATAGAGGGAGTATGCTGAGTTGATCAGCAATTTTCTATCCAAACGCACCATACAGGTTAACTTCAACAACATCAAATCAAAAACCACTTGTATTTACCAAGATCTACCCCAAGGATCAATTCTAAGCCCTATTCTCTTCAATATTTACCTAAATGATGTACACACTTTTATCAAACCACCAGCTAAAATTGCCCTTTACGCAGATGACATAATCATCTGGGTCTCCAAAAACAAAAGTTAAACCGTTTGGTTTTCGACCACTAGGACCCGGGTTCGAACCCGCATTGGACACTTTTTTCTGTTTAAAGAAAAAAAAAATGCTCCAATGGCTCCCGATTCTTGCAAAAGTCCAACCCCACCAGCGAGTGCAAGTAACCAAACGGGGTTCTGGCATTAGTAAGTGCAAAGTCGAACTGCTTTTCACATGTGTAGACATGTGGTGCACTTACAGTAAAAAAAGCAGTCGCTAACTACCCACCATGATTATCATGGCCTGTACCACGTGTACTAGGGATAAGCAAAAAAAAAACCTCTCCGATGCAGAACACTCTCTGAATAAAGCCATGAAAAATCTGCAAAAGGTAACTCAGAAACTGAAATTATCCATTAACATCAGCAAATCTGAAATTGGCCTCTTCACCATCAACAACCACCTTCGCCACTGGACTCCAAATATAGTCGAACCTCTTTAATTCAACACCCCAAGGGATCAAAGCTTTCGGTTGAATTAAAGGAAGTGTTGAATTAAAGTTTGTCAGATGATTAGCTACTCATCTAACTCACTAATGTATTCTTTTTAGATTAATTATATAACATTTTAAGAGTGAAATCGTCACTTTTAAAATTCGTCACTTATTAAAATATATTTGTCACTTTTTAAAATGAGTTTGCCGCCTTTAAAAATAAGATTGTTTAAAATTAAAATACAATATCATAAAGATTAATTAAATACATTTGACATTAAGTCCAACACTAATATAGGAGCAAATAACTTCGAAATAAATTAGAAACAGACTTTATTGGATAAAATGGTGATCTTGTGTGGCCAGGAAGCAATTTTTGTAAATACAAGTAAACCATCCTTCCCTTTCTCCTGATTTAATTCTGCTGATTGCATCAGTGTTAACCTCGCCTAATGTGATGTCACGTCGAGTAAGCAGCGACCTTACCAATGTTGTTCAATTTTGCTAAATGAAATTTCAATTGTATATAGCATATATGAATATGGTGACCATAACTTCACGCTGCTTCTTAGCAGAATAACAGATGTTTCTGCGGATATGTGCACTCTTGCATTATCCATATAGAAACAGACATCATTAAATCCATATCGTGTGGCTACAATTTCATCAAGCTCACGTAAAAATTCAACAAAAAGAGTGGCCAAGGTAGCACTCTTTTAACGGCGACAAACTCAAACGTGATGAATTCACTCTTAAAATACTTTAATATTAATTGAAACCATTGTACTTTTTTATTGACGTGACAACGTCTTAAATTAGGTTGCGGCTGGGAGTCACTTATGAAAAAGTGTAACGCCCGGTAACGTTACGATGAGTCACCGAACGAGAGTGCTGCGCGCGCAGCGCTAGAGAATTAGGCGCATTGAATCGGCGCATGCTTGTCTCTGTCTTTGTCTTTCTCGAACGTTCTTGGCGTTGGAAAAACAAGAAAGCGTCATAATACAAGTTCACACGTGTGGTTAAAGTATCGTCAGCTGTGTCTGTAGTGAAAATGTGGAGTGCTTAGATTCGTCATTTACAACAACTACAACAATAAAGGTAAATAATTGTACACTGATATTTCATTATCGTAAACTATGATTGATTGATTAATTGTTAGATTGACACAAAAGTTGAGAAACTGAGTTTATAGGTTATGTCATACTATTGATAAATGTTGATAGTGTTAAGTAAATTATTAGTTTAAAATCAATTAATTAATTAATTATTATTTTACAAATTTTAACTAGTTTCAAATTTATTTAGCAAAAATTTGAACCTTCGATCTGAATAAATGTTTTGATTTTCGAATTGATTCTTTAAAATTACAAATATTAAGAAAAAGTGGCAGATATAAGAAAACTTTATTTAAACTGTGTTGAGCAAGAATTTTAACATCTAATTTAAGTAAATGTTTTAATTTTCAACTTCATCATTTACAATTACAAATATTATTTAATTTCAAATTTATTTAGCAAAAATTTGAACCTTCGATCTGAATAAGTGTTTTGATTTTCAAATACCAACGCGGCTGGTGGAGTGGCGATCTATCGTAAATTATCATCGACATCTACGGCGGAAGTGTTCCAAGTTGCGATTACAGACGTAACTCGTGTCATTAAAACCAAGGGTGACATGTGCATGACTGAAGTTACTTGCTTCGCCGCTAATACTAGCTTCAAGTTTATACTCGGTGCTGTATATATTCATCCAGGAGCTAGTATGCAGGATATTGGAATGTTACTATGGCAAGGACTCGGTCCGTACATTCACAACAGCCAGTACGTGCCACCGTTCGTGCAAGTTGATTCTAGTATACCGATTCTTCTGTGTGGTGATTTTAACAAAAACGTAAAGCCTGACAACTCGTTTCTTAATTTCATGAAAAATACGTATAATCTTGATTGCGTATCAAACGTTTCTAAGTCAACTACGTTAAAAGGAACAACTATCGACTTGACTTTCGCAAGACACATTACAACAGAAACACTTCCTTTCATTTCATATTTCTCCTATCATCGTCCTATCCTCAACAAAATCACTCAAATAGGAATTAGTTAAGTTTAAGTTTACATGTACAATGTTTTAGTAAACAAAATATATTTCTATAGTTAAAATTTGTGCAATTCTTATTTTCATTCAATTCCTTGTTCCTATTGTGCAATTTAATTATATTCATATCAATAAATATTCTACCGTTGTCACGTAAAATCTTCGCCCGTAAAACCGACTTTACAGGCAACCATTGTTTTTTTTTTTTCATGATTAACTTTCAGTGTCAAGGACAAAATGGCATTAATACATTTTTTTTTAACATATAAATGATTCATTATAAAGGACTGCGGCGTGTGATTATAAAACATTACTTAAAGTTTCACCGCATAAGTTTCTTTTCCGTGAAAAATCAATATTTATTTCAAAGAGAAATATAGCAATAAATATGTATATATATATATGTTTCTATGAAAATGTTAATCTGCAAGACGCAGGTTATCATCATCCCTTTTTGATTTGTTTTTGTCACTTTTTGGCGTTCCGAAAATAAACAATAAAAGGCTGTATCAGACTTTACTAAGACAATAAAGATTTGCTTAAAATAAATGTGTACGAAGATGTTGCATTTGGCGACGAGGATATAAGAGTAAGTACCCTCGAATTTTGAAGTAAATATTTTTAGAAAATATCTTTGATTTTGCATATAATTGAAAGTAAATTTTAAAAGTCACAAATTGCAAAGTTTTAGGATGCAAATTTAAGAAAGAGTGAAAAGAAAAATGGCTAGTTACCAATTTAAGGAATATAATGAGGAAACTGAAACTTTTGAAACGTTTTATGAACGATTGGAACAGTTTCTCATATTGGAGGAGGCAGGGGATGAGAAGAAAAAGGCTTATCTCCTAACCCTCATGGGAAGTA